GATTCTTCCTCAATAGCTTTCGTTCAACACTGTCTTTAATAACGGATTCCGCTTCTTAGAGTACATGGATTTGCTTGGCAAATAAGTTCTTTCTTTTGTTTGTAGATGCAGAAGTTCCGAAACCAACTTCTTCCCTAAACAAGTCCCTGGATCTAATTGCGAATGGGAGTTTTGCGTCTCCGAAAGCTGTCCTGATTGGCACTTCTGGTCCAACAACCTCTCCAAACTGGCTGGGTTCTTCTCCAAAGTCTCCTGCCTCGAAGATGATGAAAATACTCTTGAGCCAGATAGAGGGACCTGTAGATAAGAGTCACAGGCACTCTCACCACCCAGAAGGTGAAGGGGCAAACCCTTCAGAAAGTTTAGATTCTTTGCCAACACATCAAACCGTTAGTTTGGTGACCCCAACAGATTCTCCTCGGGACCTAGTTCCCATCAAACAATCCACTGTTAAACTACCTGCTGTTACGCCTTCCAACCAGGTAAGGCTTGTGGCCACTGTTCCTCCTAGTAATGCAACAGCCACTAGGCGTGCCACGGCTGACTACGGGAATGCATATGTGGCAACTGTGAGTCCGAGAAGAAGCAGCCCTGCTCCCCAGCCGACAGCCACTTCCCAAGTGAAAGCCAGCAGCCTCAGCCCTCTGCCTCCCAGCCTGTCCAAGAAGGGTTCATCAGCTGCGTCACACAAGGCCCACCTTAGTCATGGGCAACTGAGCAGGGAGGGCGCCACGCTTAGCAGGCCTCCGGGTGAGACGCACGCCTCCTACTTGGGCGACAGAAGTGTCCTCCTAGCTGTGTTGCTTTTCGGGGTGATATTTCTGCTCTTGGCTCAAGTGGCAATAGGCCGGAAACTGCTGGAATCTCTTCGGCACAGGCGCTACTCTAGGCTGGACTACCTGATCAACGGCATGTACGCCAACGTATGATGAGCGAGGAGTGTGAAGAGACACTCTGTGGAGCTAGCGAGGCCTTTCGTAGTCTTAACGGAACAGAAGAAGGACTGACCTCGCCATGGTAGTTGAGATGTTCTCTCTTTTGGGGCCGAAAGCCACTTTTACTAGAAACAGAGCTTCTGCTGAAAATGGAAGCCGGGGTAGCGCTCCCA